CAGTTGTGGACGAAACGTCAGGAAGAAATTCCGATAGACCACGGCTTCAAAGCCCGGAAAACATTCCTAAATGTAATTTAACCGGCCGTGAAAGCTTTCATAGTCAAATGAAGTATTTCCCAATAAAACGAACATCATGTTCTCATCTATACCAGTTAACTTCAAAACATGTCAAAAAATCGAAATTAGCTGATAGATAACGCAAAATAAAAAATGGACCTTATGGGCAGGAGAATCACGACGAAATCTTTCAAATATGGCTCTAACTTGAAGTAACTTAGGTAATTATTGGAATCTCTCGGGAAAGGTATACCTGTTGAAAACATCGAAGCGAAGTTGAAAACAATCGAAGTGCGCCAGCTTGGAAAGGTGTGTTATTTGCATAAACAACGAAAAAGTGAAAAAAAACGGAAACCTTTCCCGGAAACAATCGCATATAACTCTGTAATTATGCGTCTTAGAGATAAAATGTATAGTTATAATATATATATAAATAATCTTTATTTCCCACAGAAAAAGGCTATCGACCCAATCGGTCTTTCTGCCCTGTATAGTTATATCTTTGTTCGTTATGAAATTTTCTTCAAGATGGACCTGGATCCTTAAACAATCATATACCATTGTTACCACTTTATTCCATTCCAATAGTAATCTAAGTTACGTCACGTTAGAGCCATACGAATCTGTAACCCTCCTGGCCTTTAAAGAAAACCCACATTCTCTAAGCTCATTGAAATAGTGTTTTATATATTTCTTTCGACATTTCAATGTAATGAAGATTTTTTGGTGTCTTTGTGTCAATTGATTCATTTATTGAATTTAATCATTAATTAATTTAAAAAGCATCATTTATTTCATCGTTCGGTCAAGACACAACCAATAGATTTTTCAAAAATGCCCATGACTTGTACAACAATGTATTTAAAATCCTTACAAAAGAATTGTTTTAGCAATCAGGGAGCATATTTGAGATTTAGTTATTGTTGGAAATTATTTACGAAAGTTACGATTTCAGCTTGTATACCTTATTCTTTACATCCACCTCAAGGATGTCAACTAGGTTTACTTCAATTTTCGTAAAAGTGTTTTTGTATTTGGGAAGTCTAAAACACACAGTTTGCCATCCTGGTCTGGCTGTGCACATGTAATTATTTTTACCATGATCACCCCATTCGCGAATCTGCAGCAGAAATGTATTGAATATGCATCAATTCGAAATTAGTACAAAAATGCTTCTCACTATAAGTTAAAGTCTGAAACATGTCGAAAAACTTACCTGCTTTTGAACATATTTGACCTTCTTGTCATGCTGCTTGGGGGCACTGGTAAATTTGAAAACAATCCAGTTGCGAAAATAAAACCACAAATCATAGAAGAGAGAAATCGGCAACAGAAAAACACAGACAAAAGCCCACCGGTACTTAATCAGGATATATTCTGTTAATGTATCATAACCTTTGTCCATTTCTGTTTTGTCATCTAATCAACTTAATTAAAAATGTGCTCATTCCAGCTATATATGCTTTAATTTCAGTTGTATCTCTTCAAGTGCCTGACAACGAATGAAGTCAATGCTATTTATCAATAATTAAACAGTGATATAGACGTTAAATATTATCGTTTTAATTAAGTTTTACTTTAGTATAAGAGTGGAAAGTTGACGTAATGTAATATTAAAGATCATACCTACTGCACATTAATAGCAAAAATCAATGGCAAACTACCAACTTTCTAAGTAAAGCTAGAAACACACACAACGTGGATTAAGCCAGATTCAAATGCCTACCTACACTATTTGTATTATTTATTGAGACAAAGCCCGGGGAAGCCAATAAGCGTTAATAACCGAACGGATTTTTTTTGTCTGGTTCGTTCGTGGTAAATTATACATTCCAAAATTATACGGCTATTTTAGTATATCAATTGACCATGAAACATTTATTGACTTCTTCTTCTAAGGCAACGTGTAACTTGGATAGGTATTTATTTGAACCTAGGTAACTCACATTCAAAAAGAAATGTACTAATGTAATGTACTAATCTTGAATATTGAGTATGAAGCTTGATTATCTGCCGGTAACACACAAAAAAAACATTTTAACATACTATAGTTGGTTCTGAATATTTTTGATAAAGGTAATTGTCTCTGCATTCCTTGTCGCCATGAAAGTAATTTGCGGTTTTCAGATAATCGACTCTTTATAAAAGCCATATCATCATAAAGGAAGCAAGCAACTAACACAATGCTTAGCGATTGCCTGTTGGCAACATTCATAAATTATACTAGTGTTATTCACTTGAGTTGCAATATACAACAGTGGAATGTTTGCGTTTGCAAAACTTTGCTAATTGGAAAAGAATCATGAAATGTATGAGATTAAATACAATTATAAATTTTAATTAATATTTAAGAAGTATGTTTAGCGATAAGTAAATAGCATTATTTAGCAATATTATATATAAAAGTTTCAATTAGGAGAAAGTTGAAGATGTTTTAATAATTTTTCAGTACACATTAAGCTTACAAGGAGCAGAATGAAAAAGAAAGAAGGATAAAATGTTAGTAGTTAGCTGTTAATTAAATTTTTAATTTTCTGGACCTGTTTTGATAGTATTATAATTTTGATTTATTTTCCTGACTGCGTGTAATTGTCATAATATTCTTTTCTTTCCTAGGCTCCAGTCAAAGTGTGAAACAAAAATTTATTTATCGTTTAATTTATTACGTTTCTGCGGGACAACAGTGCCATCAGCAGATTTTAAAATTCATACAAACTACAAACATCAATTTACAATTAAAATATGTTGTACAAAAATTATAATTTATAAAGTGTTAAAACATTCATTAGTTCTTGAGGAAAAATTAACTTTACTTTTGGGAGAGCAAAACATTGGAAAAATCATATCCTAAATAAATACCTAAATAAATATAATGTTTACCAATTATGAGGTAAGTTAACAAGTGTAACTGTTACAGCAGATCCTAAAGAAGAGGAGGTCGTTCTGAAAATAACATTAAAAATGCGATTGCGTTAGTGGTGAAGAGATCAATTAAGTAATCTCAACACCAAAGTAAAACTTTTCCAAAAACCTCCGTGGAAAATTTAACACAAACTTTCATCTTCAGAGGAAATAAATTAAATGCGTTGGCGGTTTTTGTTAAAATAAAAGTATTTGGGTACAAATTATCCCGAATGCTGAATGAAACGATTTTGGAAATTGCTTTAGAAAATATACTGTGTATGCCTTATATAATTTTCGGATGTTGACTACGAATGAGGAAACCAAAAGGGGTTGCGGGCATTTAATTTCTGATGCAATACGGGAAGATTGTATCACAATAAAATGCCCCGACAAGGGAAATAAGAAAAATCTTTAGTTTTGGAATATTATTCTGTCTACGCATATTTTATTAGCAAACTTGCTAATAAAATCCAAACATCCCTTCATGTCTTATAGGCGCCAGTAAAATTTTCTTATAACACTACCCAAAAGTTTAAGTTGATGCTTAAAAATAATGGAGATGTCATATTCAATAGTCAAGTTTCTTACAAAGGAATCGTTATTTCTTCATGACGAATCGCCAATCATATCGCTTGCTGCAGGGTAATTGATCGAAAAGAAACCTATTAGTATTGTAAAAGGCACGCAACATCCTCAAAAGGTTAATGTATCGGCTGGAATTTTAGATGAATGTATTATAAGAAACTATTGTGACCCTCAATGTGCTAGAAAATGTACGAAAAAAGTTCTTTAATAAGCTGGAATCTTGTTTTTCGCGTGGAAAAAGTTTTGGCAGTGAATTAAAGTATTACAGTTTAATTTTGTTTAATGTAACAAAATTAGGTTTTTTTGTGTATGAGTCAATGATTTATTTTTACAGCAAAAATTTTACAAACAGATATGTTTGGTTTATTTGATAACGTTAGCATCAAAATTTCAGTACTTCGACAACTGAAACAGGCACCTAATCGCAACAAAAAGTCAGTAGCAAAAATCTACCCCGGTGTTCATAAATTAGGCCTTGAGTCAGCTTAGGGTTTTAAATTATGGAAAACGAGTAGTACTACAGAGTAGAATATTTTCTTTCTCTATCAACATAAGCAACATACAATCATCAACATTCATGTTAGAGTTATTCTCCATTACTGTTTCAATTGTTCTGGTATTATAGGATCTTACATCTCTCCCTACTGCCAGAGGGCCGGGGGTAACCTCCCGTTGAGCTCCTGGTATTCTGGTGCATCTCTGGATGTTGTTTTCCGTTCTTTTATAAGTTTTAGTGTGCTTGGCGTTAGCTTTCGGTCTCTTGGTATTTTAACGCTGGAACAAATCTTCTTATTTATTGTGTGAATGTCTTATTTTATTTTATATTTGTTTGAAGGCTTGTTTTCTCGGTGAGATGATTTATGTTCATTTTCTCTATGTTGATAATTGGGTTAAATTTCTCCTCCAATTCTTTCTGAAAAGCCTCTTTATAGACGCAATTCAGTAGCGGTTCGGAAAATTTGCTTATTGACAAGTTTTGCTCTTTCAATTTTCAGATTTAGGGAAATTGTAGTTCTAATCAACCGGTGGTCGCTTCCAGTATCAAACTGATTTAAGACTGTTACGTTAAGACAGATATGCCTCTTATATATTCGCACAAATATCATCCCTACAAAATGACTCCAGTGCAAACGTTATTCGAAGAAGTTATTGCTTGAATTGTTATGTGAACCGACAAAATTATCGATTTTGGGCAACAGAAAATTCGCATTGAATGATGGAGGTTCACAGCCAGTATCACCAAAAAATAAATGTGTGGTATGAAATAGTACACGGAAGAGTAATGGAACAATTTTTCTTTGAACAGTCTCTAACTGAACAAGTTAACACGTAGAATTTCCCTAACTTGAATGAATTCCAGCATTGGTGTCTTTATTTCCAAATCCATTAAAGCCAGACTTTGCTGACAAAGAACTGATTTTCCAACAAAATGGGGCTTCCTGCCCCCCAATATGCAGCCATTGTGAGTACATTTTTGGATAAAACTTTTGAAAGGGAGGACCTATTGAATGGCCTCCTAGATCGTCAGACCCAACTCCGATAGATAAATTTTTTTGGGGTTACCTCAAATCTAAACTATTTGTTGACGGGCGAAACAATATGCAGGAGTTGAAAGAGAAGATCCGGCAAGAAGATCGGGTCATAACTCCGGAAATGGTTGAAAACGTGCAAAAAGAGACGAAGTGCAAAAGAAAATATCAGTCCTTTTCAGGACTACGGAAATTTGAAAGAAATCGTCGCTATTAAAAATGAAATTTACAGTCCGCTGAATTTTAAATGAATTTACACATTACTTCTGGGCTCACTTATTAGTGGAATGTAAAGTAATCCAGAAAATAGCTAACTAGGTTATGCTGCAATATAGTTCCAGAGTTTGAAAAATAAACGTCGACAAAACTAAATTGCAGTGCTTTTAATTAACAAAGCAATTTCGTATTTAAGCGAGAGGCCAACTGGACTCATATGAAGGGAGGTATTATCTAGGGCCAAAGATGAAATAGATGTCGGCAAGGAAAACCATCTAGGGCTAGGGCATACGAGATTTAATTTGGCCAATAGTGTTTTGTCACTTGTGTAGGTCAGAGTTCATGGAACTATGCGGTTCTCTATCCCTTTTCGCTGCCTAACAACAGCGAAAATGCGGAATAAGGGTAGGAGCGATGGAAATTCACTTGTGGTTGAACCAGCAGAGGTAATTTTTGGGAAAAGTTGCCTTTTCATGTTTTGGCTATTACGTTTTCATTACTACACATGCATACCTGTTCAACGTTAAAATTGGTAAAATCAATGTTGCGGAAGTTTGAAATACATTCTAACTTAGGGCTTTGCCAATTTCCAAATTGCCAAATTTTCATTTAATTGACCAATATAAATTTCTACTGTTGATTAACAAAACGGTTATGTAATTATACTTATCAATTAAAGTTGTTATACAAATGTATTGTACAGACGACATGTTTTAAAAGCAGTAGTTGTACTTAACCAAATGCAGGGTGTTTCAAACTTAACTGACAAAATTTAATTTGCGTGTTACACAATAGTTTACGTTCAAAAATGGAATAAGAACTGTATAACCAAATGTCATGATTGAATTTGTATTGACGAAGAAGGTGAAGCGATTATTGACGATACGAGACTTTTTACCCGAACAATACTTTGTTTAACCGAAAGTTCAGATAAAGAGCAAGATGATGGAGAGAAACCACAAATAGAAATTCACTGATATCAAAGAAAGATGCAATACGAGGCATACTTTTGAAACAAATCTAATCACATTCAAACAAAAGAAAATAATATAAGTAGAAGTAAATAGGATTTTACTTATATCATTAGAAGATGTAATGCAGGACAATTTTATTTAAAACCCAGTAACTACATATAAATCAAGTAAAATAATGATTAACACCAAATGACAATGAAAAATATCGGTTTTATGTTACTGATTGCTGTCCTGTCGAAAACTCGGAATGAGGTAAATGCAATTGATTGATTCAGCACATTACGATTTCTTATAGCCTTGCTGATATAGGAAGGACCCATTACTGATATTAGGATTTCTATTGCATTCTGTTCACATTGAGATAGCTAAATTTAATTTGACCAAATTATTCGAATTATTATATTGACTATCAAATAAATGATATTCCTAATGCCTCCAATATCCGAGCAATTCGATTATTTCAAGCTAGAATGCTATGCGATGTTAGGAAAAAATGTTGACGATTCTTCAGGAATAAGCCGAGGTGTACAGCTGAGCTGAACTTTTGTAAAGATTTCATCAATACAAATAGCTACTTTGTCAGCAAAAGACGAATATTTGCTTTGGTAAACTACCTTTGGTCAAAAGCGCTTATATCGGCTGATTAATAAACTGCATAATGTTATAGAGGTAACAAAAACCATTTTTGTGATCTATAAATTTGTACTCATAAAGTAGTAATCAGTAAGAATGAAATATGTTTAAAAGTGTTTACAAATGAAATATCTTAATACGTTTATTGCTTGCATAGGATCTCCTAATGATCTAATATATGTCTTGCATCGGCTTGTATGGCGTTTTAAGTAAGATTTATATTATACAAAGGCTCAGATAACCAGCAATTATGAAGGAAACTAAAAGAATTCAAGGAAAATTTTCTTACACTTGGTAGATTAAGCAGCTAAGAAACATTTTCTTTGTTAACGACGAATGCATATATATATCGTATATCAAATATACGATAAATGGGATTCCATTTTCACACGGCCAGTGTATGACACGATGAACATTTGCAGGAACGTCCAGAGTTCCCAACTTCTCTTGAATAAATGGCATTTTAAAGTCTGCGTTCTGCCCGCACAGCAATTTGGTAAACATTGTATAAATAAAGTAAATAAATGGACGATCTCGATGCTCAAAGTTATAAAGAATACTTTTTTATCGCCGGGTGTTTTGTGACAGCACTCAATATTAAACAAGATTATTATTTGAAATTGTTTATTAAAATATATGCATAATGAAATGAATCAATTTGTTCTTATCAGAGAGTTTGTGATAGCTTGTGGTTATTCGAAAATATTTTTAATTTTCATTTTAAACAATTGCTACGTTATATGATTTATTATGTTTGCTATGCAATTTACACTGTTTTGAACAACCAATATCTGGAAGAAGCTAATACAATGTTTTCCCGCTAACCCAGAAGTAATTTGAATGGAATATGAACTAATGTTGCCTGAAGCAGAGTTATGTATCGCAAATTATCCTTGCTTAGAATTAAACCACGTAATTGCTCCGAGCGTGCATGATCCATAACGAGCAAATGTATGAGCCATTGTACTGAGAAAACTCTAGATGTTATGCATTGTCTAGCTGTAAACATTGAGAAACGAAAGCTTAGGACCCAGCTTTATTGTTAAAATTGCATGTTTAGATCTGCTCATTTATGGTTTCCATTTCTAAACAGAAATGGCTTGATGAAACAGACAGGATAAATCATTAGGCACTTGAAACAATGTGTAAAAGAAAGAAAGGGGGCTTGTGTTATCCAAGAAGGAATCGGATATTCAGCGGATAAATTCATTAAATTCAAGTATAGGTCTTATTTATGAATGTCGCCACTGCTGGAAAAGGAGTTGCGTAATATGGAATAAGGAAAATGAGAAGAAAAGTCTACTGGCCAACTGGCGCATATTCAGAATCAGAACCGGATTTAAGAAAAATATCTAGCGCTAACCTTTCAATGCCTTTCAAGTATATGGAGCTCCTCTTTAAGTAAATCGCAAAGCGGTAATTTGGTTAACAAAGAAGCTTCTTACAACACGTCATCCAGCTGTTATAAAAAGATGAACCAGTTCTATATAAGGAGTTGATCTATGAAATAGCAAAAGCCGCTCCTGTGTGGCAATAGAGCAAGCGCCTCAATATTGATTCTCAAAGTATGAGGCTCTGTATATACAGTTAGGTCCAACGACAGATAGTGTACTGCAAAAGGTGGGGCACGGTAATGTCCACAATCACTTTCGAGGCCCCAACATTTAAATTTCCTGCTTAGAGTGACTGTGCTAAAGGCTAGAGACCGCTTAGTTTTAAATAAAATTTAACATTTTATGGCTTCAGGCCGATTAATCAAGCAAAATACAAGTTCAGAATACTAGAAACTCATGATCGGCTCATTTTGGAACTTGTGTAGAGCTACGTGCCCCGCTATGCCCGTCGATAAGGTAAAAAATGGCATTTGGTCCTTAAATGACTTCGTATTGATTATTTTCGTATCTACAGAATTTTTTTGCGAGCAGCATATTTCCTGTAATGTCACTATTGTTTGCGTGAAAATAGAGCTGTAAAAACGCCTGGTTAATGATATTCAAGTTCAGCAATCCAGTCTATTTGCTGGAAACAATATCTGTAGTACCTATGTAAAAGTAAATTTAATCAAAACTAGAGTCCGAAAGGAAAAAATACATATAATGGTGATTTTAATCAAGTCACCAAAATGCTGGTAAACGAGTGAATTTGTAAATGTATCTCCAGATGTCCAGATCGCATATGTCGCACTGAAGCAAATAAGCACTTAGTTCAATGTTAATCAGGATATAGCTAAGATGTATGTAGTTATTTTATAATCAGAAAAATATAAAAGTTAATGTTCTATGTTGCAGTAACTACATTTCTACATGCAGTAAGATATATTTATATTTCACAGAAATATATTTTGTGTTGGCCATCTTCGGTTTCCTCTATATATGATCTGTAGCTGAAAGAACAAATCGTTTTTACGTTATTTGAAAATAAAAAGACGGCGGAAAGTATGATACCTAAAATAAGCGAATTTCCGGAATAGCACCACGAATTGGAGTAAAAAAGGGAGGTAACCGAACACTCTTAGTAAGAACAACATACATGTTCAAATCAATACTAAATTTACGGGATCTTGCTCAGAGTATGAAATTAAAAGAATAGCAAACATCGTTCTCTATCGCAATTTCTCGGAAAACCAGCATTTGTTGCAAATGTGGGTAGAATTTATTCTTATTTAGGTCCAAAAGAATTACATGTTCGAAAATTGATATATATTTTTTTATTCTCAATTGCAAATTCCGTTTTCTAATAACTGCTAAAAGCTCATAATCTGCAAATTTTCGATTCAGATACGTCCTTTCGCAAAGAGAAAACCGCATTTATCATAATCCTTAAGTAAATACTCTATTTACCATTTATAACATTTTATTATCGCAAATTTCAAATGTTTTGCGAACCAATTTAAGTGACACACACTTGAACCGACGATTGAAAAATATTGTTGCAATGGTTAAGCTGGTGAATTTGGAATTTGGAGTTTATATTTATATTTGTTTCCATTTTTGTGTTCTTTTTCTGTAGAAGCAAATTCTCATATCGAAAGCGAACGCAACAACAGGACACTAACTTCTTCTAAGAGTGGAAATTGCTTTTAATGTATATATGCGTTTCTGCGCTTGATCCGGTCTTTTCACAGCCTTGATATATGTTCTCAAAACTTACAGAAACATCGAAAAGTTTTCAAATTTTTGGAAATGCCAGTTTCTCAAAATTGGAAACAATAAAAACTAACAATTTCACCCATTTACAGGAAGCTCTCACGATTTCCATGTATGAGGAAGGAATCCTCCTCATTGAATTATGCTAAGATATTTGTGTTTCATATTCATTTCATAATAATCTTCTATTTCAGCAATTGCACTCCGAGTATCGGAGTACTTACCGATGGCATGAATATACGGGGCCACGGCAGGAGGTAGTAAGAAAACCACCAATCCAAAATGGTGTACCTGCCGCTGGAGTAGCTAGTGATCACAACGAAAAAGCAATGAGAGAGGATGAGTTTCAAACTGATTCTGGTAAGTTCAAATTTCCCAATATGTGATTATATACCCGATAAAATGCTAGGACGGGTCCGGAGTAACTCGCAAGCATATAAAAGTATCAATATTCATTTGTTTCTGTAAAAACACATCCATCTATCTATACATTACCACATACGCAAAACTAACAGTTTGCACTATCCATTTCGTCTGTAAATGTCTATTATTTATAATACAAGCTTATATCCTGAAAATCGCTGGTTAAGCAAAATGTACCTGAATGACTTAAAAATATATATTAGGAAAGTCTATCTTTTAAGGCTACCGTGGAATTGTCATAACAATCCATCATTCAATTTGAGAGATATTTATGTTCAATTATCTTCAGTTAATTGCTCATGGTTAATATTTAACTAAAATATTTAAATTAAAACTCAAAGGCCATAAGTCAATTTTAACATTTTAGTTGAGATTATTATTCGAACTTCCATTGCCTAAATTAAATTTAAATTAGTCTCGATGTATTTTAACTAAACATAAACAGTATCATGAGGAAACTGATTAATGTTCCCATGTGCGATGATTCTATAATTTATTATCCTATTTGCACATCTATATTTTTAGTGGTTAAACTATTTCAAATGTATTGGTCATTCTGGATTTTTTATCTGAAATTTAGTTGAATTGGGTCAGAAATAAATGTGATGTCAAGTAGATGTTTCGTATGCCTAGAGTATTTCACCTGATACGTGTTTCTACTCTAACTGCTATAAATTATGGAATATTCATGCAGCTTTATTTCATTTTCGTCCGACAACGAACAGTAAATGTACGTTCTTTGGGGGATCAATTTACTACTTTAAAATTGGCTTTGTGTGGGGGGGGTTTTGAACACTTTTGTCCAGACGATGATCCGGGTTCTATATAATATTTTATGTCTTCCGGCAAGAACGCGAATGTGACCAAAAGCTCATGAATTTCATATTGTTTCTATTGTCCCCTGGAAAGTAATTTATTAATTTATACATTATTGTGGGAGATAAGAATTATATTTAATTTAAATCCTTACATTGCCGGCAATTTTTTTTTTGTTACAAATTATTGCCGGATGGTTATGCAATCGTTTCAGTGTTGAGACGCTTTTGATATTGAAGCAATAAACTTACTTTGTTCTTATAAAATTCAGTGAATAACAGAGCAAAAAATAAAAATTACATTATCTCCGCAATACGTCCGCACATTTCCAGGAAACGGTTTAAACTGGATAATGGCCGCTTCTATCATGAAAAAGCTCTCAATTTCTCTCTCTAGGAGAGCCATTCTTTGAAATGTATTTGCGGTATCCACATAGCAAATGTGGCAATAAAATAAAATTTTCTCACCAAGAACGACCTAGATAGATTAATAGTATCCGCTTCGCCTTCAGTAATAGGGAAGCAGTAACTTAGTATCCAGAGTTTCTCTGGTCTGAATAGATCGATCACTCTAGTGAGAGATGTAGAAATTTGCGAATAACTATATAATAATAAAACATATATTTTTTAATTGTCTAGATCAGTAAATCAGATAATGTACGTTGTGACTTGGTTTTGTCGCAGCAAAGTACGAATTATTTTTATTGCACTCGCATCTTCAGAATATATTTTTTGATAATATGCGATTTATATTTCCAAGTCTGGCATGTCAAATTTCGTTTGGTCGATTTTGTCCAAAACTGCGGTTTGTAATTAATACATTTTCATTCATGTACCTACATCGTTTCAGGATTTTTAAGCAAAATTTGAAAAAATTTCGGAATAAATGTTATTCAGATATTCACTAAATATCAGTTGCAAGATATCTGATGAGACCTTGTAGATTCTTGTGTGAATGAATCGGCGAAAAGTAGTCGAAACTTTTTGCATTTTGGAGCTGAGCGTTTTCCATCTCTGCTTCAAAAATCTCAAGCTCTGAAACCTTCAATTTCCACTGAGATCCACTCCCATAATTTTTTTGCATATTTAGGTCCAAAATAAATAAAGTCGATTCGTTAAATTGGAAATTTCACATTATCGTAGAACATTTTGATTAGACTATTTGATTTTAACTCGACAACCCATCAAAACACAGCAATTTATACCATAATTAATTCAGTAAAATACATGAAAACAATAATTCAATTCATATTTTCCATTTTAGGAAAACGTTAAAATCAAGACTGAAACGAATTTCTTACAGATGTTATATTTTGATTGTAAAAGACATAAAAAGGGCAAAAATTACTCTTACGTATAATTACAATTTACAATTTTTTAAATGGATTAGAAGAATAATTTTTGCAAATTGCACTTCTCTGGGTTCCCGATTTATTTATTCTGATGAATTTTCTAATCCGATTCACACAGAAGCACAATTATAACGTTTTTTGAAACAAACAGTCTGTTGGACAAGACACAAACTTCACTAGAAGTAAATAAATATCCAACGAATATTTTTCAATATTGCAGCCCAAAAGCAAGAACCAGTAATGCCCCGAAGAAAAAAGTACCCCGACCTTGCATATCGTCATCACGAATTTCTAGTTAGCGATGGGGTAACCGCAAACGGAGGGGTTGATTCGCGAGCTAGGGTAAGTTTAAAACGCTTTTCCCAGCACGCTTGTGGTAGCAGTTCATATATTTGATATGCATATTCTACGTACACATTTACTTGTTTGGTATTAATTTCTTCCTGGCGTCTAGGAAAGTCCTTATAAGAATTTCCTGTGTTATCAGAGAAGACCTGCAAGATATAAGGGGTTAGAGTAAGGCGCTTAGCGAAAATAATACATCGATTCGTACTTAATTACATGTAAGGTTATGCATATTAGACACGCAATAGATTGATTTAACAACATCTACATGGAGGTAGTTCAATTACTTTTCACTAATATTCAAGTTGTAATTTAACGTAAAGTGAAATAAAATTCCAATTTTGCAATGTTTTCTTCTGCTAACAACTAAGTTTTTCTAGTTCTAGGAATAGGAAAAACTATTTTTGCTTGAATGAATCAATATTTTAGCTCAAATTTATTTTGTTTAACAAGTAAACTGATTTAGTGAGAAAAGTGCTAGTAAATTCAAAAAGTTGAGTGCCGCAATTTAAAACTGTTGTCTGTCTTATACATCAGAATATTTGTTTGGGTTTGGCCCGATAACTAGCAGGTATGTTGTCCAACCGGAATTGGTAACCACAAAATTTGATCCCATCCGACGTTCTAAGTTATCGATGACTGGGTTGGGTTTGTCTGTTATTTGGTATTCGCCCGAAATTTATTTATTTATGAAGTCTTAAATTGTTGTATCAGATGCACAGTCAAAAATAATTTGTTTGCCTCAAAATTTGCTTAATTATTTCTATAGAAAACTGTTTTACTCCTTTTACAATATTTACAAATATCTCCATATACGAACCACTGCTGTCGTACTTGTATTTAAAATTCAAACTTTCATTTTTATATAAAACATTCTTTGTTCACTGTTTTTTCGACAGGAATAATGAATTCTTATTTTTCAGGATTTTCGCTGTAAACATGCGCTGGTTTTCCCATATATTCATCATCGTCAGATACATTTTATGGCCTCAAAATTTAATTAATCGCGTAATTAAATTTTGAGGATTATACTGTGTAATAGGATGATAACTCAGTTACTCCATTAGCGTGAAACACAATTTCAAGGATTTGAAGTGTAACACCGCAATTTATCCGCGATAATCCACAATTTCGGTGAATATTTTGAAAATTGAGGCATAAAAACAATGAATGTAAATAGAAACAGGCAATTCTGTTTTCATTTTTTATTTTTGCAATAATTTTGGTTTTTTTTCTGTAATACCAACATACAGGTGTTCTGTTTACTTTCACAAGGTAACGTATTTCTTTTTCGAAATTTCCTGTGTTATTTATTTCTGGTAATAAATATTATTATTATGTCAGATAAATCATGTTGTTTTTTTGGAGCCTTGGGCTGTGCGAAACGTCGGAAAAAGTTTCACTAGTTTCAGTTAAAATATGTGAAAGCTTAACTATTTTAATAATCATATTGTATATATATATATGGTACTTCAAATCACCCATTCGAAAATTAGTCTCTTTTGAAAATGTTGGCTTAAAAAAAGTAAAATCATTAAAAGTAAAAAACCCAAAAACAAGCGCCAGCTCTGGAATGAAAGTCGAGAAAAAATATATTTTAGGTTAATACCTTTCTGATAGCATAACTATTTACTTTCAGCCTAGCGGTGTTTTTATTTGCATTCATACCTAATTTAGCTTAAATGATAATCTTGCGATTCGGCCTAAAATTTGATAACCTGGATAAATTAAATTCTACGGAGTAATTACATTATGTAATTCCACCTGGAACGCTTCTGATTTCTCATTAATCCAGAGGCGTGAAAGCATTTAGGAACGGCCAATCAATTCTGGGCAATTCAATATGCATGTGTCTAATTGGCTTGGCCACAAATGCATTTGGCATAATAATCCGTTATCAGTTACCAATTCCAGTGGACGTTTTCACAATGTGGTTAGCTAATTAATCTTTGATCATTCGATTCATCAACCGTCAATTTGAAATGAATATGTGAAGCTTTGAAATATATACGTTGGTCCTAAAATAAATATACAACGATTGGCACCAGCAACATTTTTCGTTTTTTCTAAAAAACATCTCAAAAAATAATTGTGAAGAATCAATAAAATGTAGCAAAGCAATTTTCAACTCGCAACCTGAGAACTCCTTGCAGCCCTTGCCTGCTTTACTAATTGTTTCTTCGTGCTGTTCTCCAAGAAAACAAGGGTGTATCAAGTAATATTCCCAGCACAGTTTCATTAACTAGGTGTTTCAACTAACTTCGGAAGATTATTTTTGCCACCCTGCAAAACGGTTTTTGTTACTTGTAATTTCCTACTCACTTTTTTGATATATTAGTTTTATATTATTAGTGCCTAATACTGTTAAGAACGAAAATGAAGTTATCAAATCACTACTGTTAAGAATAAGATAAAAGAAAAGGTTCCCTGGGCGTTTTCAGTTAATGTATCTTTTTAACTAAGTTAAAATGTTAATTCTTCTTGAAAGTTTATTCATCTTTAATATAGACTTTCAACTTTAATGATTAACGAGAATATAGATATACCTATTATAAATCCTTGCATTTTACAGGTGGAAACTTATACATGGTGTACCAGGGCGTATACAGGTTAGAGACAGTTAAAAAATAAAAAAACTGTGTTTCCTTCATTTAACGCTCTGCATTTGATAAAATTATTTTAAAGTATACAGAATGTCTCATAAAACACACCGTCATCAACTTCGGTTTTTCAAATAACACATCAAAATGTTCTCTTAATTTCTGAAGTCTGCATTAAATTTGCAAGCATTTGATAGCCCATAGTCCACCGACAAGTTAATGTTTTTTTTAAGTATCTCTAGCAATCGGTACTTTGAAAATAAATTTATCAGAAACCGTAAGAGAGAGAGCGGCCTGCTTTTTATTCAGCTTTTAGAGGAAGAAATGGGTTTTCCTTTCTTTACTTTTACTTTTATTAGCCGCTCAGGTGCATTTTCTGAAAATTATCAAATCTTTAATATTTTCATTCACTAACGTACTTTTTTACGGAAGTGATATTTTTTACTTGAATTTGTTTGACATCTGGTATATAATGCGTCTATTTTATCAAATAAATCCCTATAGTCATATAACATGTTTAAAATTATGATTTCCATAAAAACATGTTCTGTCGATTAATTTTTTTTAATAATTAGTAGACAATGCCCCACTGCAGCTTATCAAACTTTGAAGTAAAAACCATAAACCACCTGTACACTTGAAAATCATTTTAGTATATGCAGATCACAAATTTAAGGAAATACGATGTTGGTGTTTCTTGCCATCTCTAACCGTTTAGACGCAATTAAGCTATGTCATACAGCGGCGCACCCTGTAGATTAAAACTAATCACACTTTTGTTTTTTGAACGAATATATACATTATTCATTAGTCGATGTTAATAAACTCTAAAAAATGGTTTTATCCGAAGACAAAGCACGCTCGAGTCGAAATTCCCATATATTAAAAGATGCAAATATAATCCCGCCTGTAAAACAGAAACTTCTTATCTAATACGAACTGAATAATTTAGAATTGTCAAGATATATTACATAAATTTCAATACTTGTTTCCGGGGAATAAAAAATAAAACTTTCTGGCTCCCTAAGAGTATTGCTTCCTTATATATTTTGAAAAACTGTTTGTATATTTTAGTGCTGCTCTTATGGTATAAAACTCTCTTGCATAAAATTTTAGTATTTGCGCCCACATACAGTTAGATAGCAAAACGCTTTGTATTTAAAATCATCAATATAGAAAGCCAACATTTTAACATCATTTAATTTAACGTATATCATACGCTAAACTATAAGTAGGTAAAGTAAAATGCTCTTACGCTTTAAGATTGGAAACAATAAATCTTTGGCGATTCTAAAAAAAGCCAAGATTTAAATGTTGGTTTGGGCGCAACTGAAATAGATTTTAATTAATCGACTAATATCTAGTGGGTAATATGGTAGGAGCATCCTGCATGATACGAAATTCTACAAGTATCTATATGGAAAACTTTGTGTTTAATCAATTTGGTTCAACTAATCGGATTGGTATCTGCAATAACTATTTGGAATATAATTCCGTTGTTCTTTCCCCAATTTACCTCTTCCTTCCCAAAAAAACCTGCGTTGTAAGACATACGGTTGTCGCATATTTCTTATCAACCCCTTCTATAGCTTTTTGTTGTATTGATGTTTTTTTGCTAATACTCACTTTATTCAAATTTAGAATTTGGTACGTTTTAAATCCCTACAGCAAAAAAAATGCTTGATTTGATTAAAAATTTAGACTATTAAGTACTTAGAAGTAAATTTGCTCTCCGGCTTGCCTGCATGTCGTCCCAACTACAAGACAATCTCCTGCAATTCATGGGAGACGCCAATACACTGCATTTTTTTCTTAGAGCCTCCAGCAAATCGTATCGTATAGGCTAATAGTCTTTTGAAATCCATTTTACGCTTTTGGAAAATTTTCTAGAGCTTTGGTTAATCATTTGTAGTAATAACGTTATAAAATTTAATCTGGAAATAATCTAGCATCAAAAGACTTGACGGCGCAATTGTATGCAAGAACGATGTATCTCCTCCAGTAACTACTGTAAACATTTCATGTAATATACTTTAAGGTAAGAATAATATTGATATATTAATTAATAGACTTTGGCACATGAGGAACTGCTAATAAATTAGTCTTTCGCATAGAGCTACCCGCTTCCACTTCCCCTCATTAGCCGGCCACCTTAATTAATTATTAATAGTATGGCCGCAGTGTGGAATTAATTTGAATTTAAAGTTGAGCTTCCTTCAATACTTGCCAGGCGAAGCTGCATTTGAATAGCGAAATTCCTGTGATATTTTAATCTTCATTTCCATATAAAGTTGTTCATAATGACTTACGAATAGCTTTTGCTAATTCAAACTTTGCACTTCCCAAATAAAATTACAAACTCGGGAGCTATTTCAGGTCTGGCCATAATGATAAGGG